GGGAGGGACGGGAGGGAGGGGAGGGAGGGGAGGGAGTTGGGGGGAGGAGGAGGCAATTGTTGTCCGTTCGGGGGGAGTCTTGTCTGTTTGCGCTGGTTCTCGTCCGCCCGCTGGAGGCCAACTTCACCGTGACACTCGTCTCCTCCGCCGGAAGCCGCGCTCTCCGATAGGTGTTTTGGGGGTTGGCGACGGTTCCTCCCAGTGGCAGGTCTATGGCTGCCAAGGCGGCAACCATGGCTGCAACTTCGACGTTCATGCTGAGGGGGGGGGTGAGCAGCCAAGTGGCAGTGGGGAAGACGCTGGGAGGAGAGGAATGCCACGTGGCGCGTTCGTCGAGCTGCAGGCTGCATGCAGTCAGAAGCTGGTCGACGGTTCGGACTCGGCGCGGAGCACTGCGCGCCGCGCGACGACACGCGTGCGACAAGAGACGACAAGCGACGTCGGTCGTCAGGGCGCAGTCGGCGGCAGTGGTAGAAGCGGAGAATAGCGCGGCCGGCGCCGGCGGAGACAGCGTGGTGGCGGAGGTAGCAGAGCTGAAGGACGAGGGGGACACGGAGGGGGTTGCGCCCAAGGAATCGTCCCCGGGCGCGCAGTCTGCGGGGCCAGCGCGCAAACGCTCTCCGCTGGAAAGAGGCGGGACGCTCAAGGGCACTTCCGCTGCGGGTAAAGACCCAGGCGCGTCGGCTACTGGCACCGCTGCTATCTTCGCGAACAGGGGAAACTTCGCAGATCCGCGATGGCGGAACGGCACATGGGATTTGGCGCAGTTCACTCAGAATGAAAAAGTCGATTGGGACTCCGTAATCGACGCCGGTTAGCTCTCTCTCTCTCTCCTGTCTCTTATACACATCTAGATGTGTATAAGAGACAGGTGTGAGACCTGGAAGAGCTCGGCAGGGAGTAAGACAGTGTTAGAGAACTTTGGAAGGGCTTGTTAGGGGTTTCGAGGGTTTTGGAGCATTTGTAGGACCTCTGCGGTCTATTCCCTGTCTCTTATACACATCTAGATGTGTATAAGAGACAGGTCTATTGCAGAGTATGATTGATGGGGGAAAACTGCTTTCGCAACTTAGCCCTTATTGTTCGACTGCGGAGTCCGTCAATGAACAAATCTCTCCCTACTTGCTCACCTCGCTCT